AATATTATGCATTCTTTAAAAAGGGTGAACTGTACCACTTATGACCACATGGATGGACCTAGAAGGTATTATGCAAGGTGTAATAAGTCAGATTGAGAAAGAAATATACCTAAATATGAATTCATTTATATGTGGAATCTAAAAAAATAAACAAATAAAAAACAGAATCAGACCTATAAATACAGAGGAAAAACTGATGATTGCCAGAAAGGAAGGGAGTGGGTAAATGGGAAAAATGGTTGAATAGGAGTGGAAGATACAGGTTTCTCATCTTTGGAATGAATAAGTCAAAGGAATAAAAGCACAGCATAGGGAATATAGTCAGTAGTATTCTAATAGCATTGTATGGTGACAGATGGCAGCCACACTTGTGGTGACCAAACCATAACATATAGAGAAGTTCAATCACTATGTTTTACATCAGAAACTAATATAATACTGTGTGTCAACTATATTCAAATTTTAAAAATTTAAGACAAAAGGGATTCTGAAAGACAAGTATCATGAAATAATTCTTAAAATCCACAAATCCTGAATGTCTCATGACAACACCCAAATTCAGAGTGCTATGAAGGGAATCTGCAAGCATATTACTGTGGTAATGAGAGAAGGAGTAGAGGCTCAGACAGTTGGTCTTCAACTAAGGAACATAGTGAATAAGGCAAAAATGAACATCTATGTGTTGCAATAAATAATATCCTTTAAACTTAAAATAATTTATTTAATTCTAAGGCCATGACCTTTTAAACCTACATTTAAATAAACAATTTAATATTTAAATAATTTAAATAAACAAATTTAAATAAACAAATATTTGTCCTTCCAGAATATCCAGAAAACACTTGCTGATCCTAAAGGTAAACATTACCACATGGTTTAGCCCAGGATAAGATAGTTAATCTGCTTTCCAAACTCATGAATAAGTTCATGGAATAGGAAATGACTATGACATTATTTGATGAATATTCTTTGCTTTCATAAGTCCACCTTTGATGTTACATCTAGAATATCAGACACATTATGCTACTGCTAAAAATTCATTCATAACATGTATGTCCAATATTTTAAATATGCATTCTAATATAATAGTTTCAATATGAATTTCAAATAGCTTTTATTAGATGGCAATAATCCTTCTAGACAGTATGAGCATAGATTCTTAGAGTCTAAAATTTTATTTCATGTTATTTCATTCAGCATATTTAATCAATTGCATATCCTTTTAAAAGTTAATAGACATAATATTTTCCTTCAGCTACACCAGATAATCATTGATTTTGTTTTCTATTCTATGCAAATAATAAGCAGGAAAGTAGACTTTTGGAAAATATGTGAAGCTATATTATTTATGAAGCTTTATTATTTATGTTTTGAGAGAGAGAGTGGGAACAAGCAAGGGAGGGGCAAAGAGAGAGGGAGAGAGAATCTCAAGCAGACCACCTGCTTGTCAGCACAGACCCCCATGAGGGACTCAATTTCACGAAGTGCAAAATCAAGACCTGAGCAAAAATCAAGAATTGGACACTTAGCTGATGCATCACCCAGGCATCCCAGGAAATCTTCAAAGTATGGAAGCAGATTATGTATGGCTTTGACAAATTAAGGTGATGCCCACATGAAGCAATACATTTTCAAAGAGGAATTAATTAGTACATACATTATCAGGCCATAAAAACCTCAGGTAATCTCCCTCTGAAATAATCTTTTTTGTCACTAAGCATTGAATGAGACACATGTTTTCCTAATTATAATTCTAAATATACTTTTGTCTTAATTCTTCTTTGTATGTGACAACTCAGTTTGGATGAGAAAAGATAACTCCAGTTTCTTCTTGTGGCTCTTCTTTTCAATGCTGTCTGTTTGGATGGAGGGGCTTCCTGATGACTCACTGAGAGTCAGTGGGGAAATAAGAGAGAGAGAAAGAGAGAGAGAGAGAGAGAGAGAGAGGAGGAAGGAAGGGAAGAAAAAAATGAAAACCTTGAGCTGGAAATATCCTACTGATGTTTGGATAGCAAGTTGGGGAAGAGGTTGAAAAAGACCAAAAGAAAACTTCAAACTAATAAGAACATGCTTTCATATTTGCAGGCATAGAAAAATCATTCCTTCCGCCTAAAGCATCACAAGTCATTATATTCTGTTTGTACTCTCTGGTCGAGATAATTATATGGTGTTTTACTTTCAATATTTTGTGTTATAAAACACCATATATTTTTTCAAAGTACAAATCATTAAAATATCAAGATTGTTTTTCAAATTACACTGTTCCAGATTAGATATCATGTCTCATCTTTTCCACTTGAAGTATCAACATGCAAACCTCTAGTTATTATTCTTTTTCTTTTTGCTATGCTTTATTGTAATGCAAACATATATATGCTAAGCATATGCAACTGTAACCCATCTCCTTTATCTCAACGGTATGCAGAAAAGCAATGAAAATAATAAGAAAAACAAGAAAATAATACAGAACATACTGTATTATTAATGCTAAACCATGGAGAGGATACTGAGACTTTTGATTAATAAATAGCCCAATGTATTTCATAAACGTTTGTTGTGACAATACATAAATTATTAGTGTCATGTTTAATCAAAAACCATATACCAGATTTTTATATTAAAAGAGTAGTTGACTAATGAAGAAGATGGTGAATGTGTGTTCACTGAGATTCCAGGTTGGATTTTTAATTATCCTTTAAAGAAAGATGCCAGAAAGTCATCTGGAATCAATACATCTAACCCCTTGGTTTTGTATGATCCCATTGGAATCACATGGGAGAAATCCTTAAAGGATTAAATAAAATCTGAGCTCCTGGAAATAACTTCTGAAACATGAGTACTGAGATTAGTATCATTTAGGAGGATAAAGAGATAACTTTATAGTCCAAGAAGGAGTCCAGAAGGAGAGATTTGCCCATAACCACAAAGGAGAATAAGAAACATAAATTATTTTGAGGGGCTTTGAAATGGTATTTCCTTTCTTAATAATAATACTGCTGAATCACATAAGGCACTGCCCCAAGAATGAAAGGCTAAAACTACCAATAACTGCATCCTACCTCAAAAGTTGTCACCAAAGCAACTACCTAACTCACTAGTGTATAAATTATCCAGAGCTTTGTTCAATGTGTGTACTTCTGACTTAGCTTACATAAACTACCCAATAGAATATGTTTGGGAGTGCTTCCCTTCACAGCTACCATAAAAGGAATTAGACCTACTTTTGACACATCCTGCAAGATATCCATAAATTCTATATAAATCATAGAAATGAAGAAAGGTGAGGAAGGAAGGAGATAAGAGAAAGAGAGAGAAAGGAAGGGATATTCTTGAGTGTGCTTTACTGAAGTTAAATGGGATCAATTAGGACAGAAAGGTGGCAAAGTAGTTTTTTCTAAGAGAGAAGCCATAGAAATAGAAAATTTTAGCCTTAGGTATGATTACTTCTTAAATCTAGTGTAAGGAGTGAGTAGGGTCCAAGACCATGAGGAATGAAACATGTAGTATAGAGAATCTCACTTATATGCACAGATCTTGCAAGTTATATTCATTCAGATTCTAAATCTATTTATTAAATTGGTAGTAAGCCTTATTATCATTCTAATGAAATAGGAAACACTTTATTTTGTGTTTTTTGCAGTAAGGAACTGAATTTTTAAAAACATTTAAGATTTTATTATTAAACAACGACATACAGTTGTCATTGGGTATTAGTATTATAAGAAGAAAATATGCCCTATAGATTTTTTCATTAACATTAGAAAACTATGATTCATATACAGGCACTGTACTTAAAAATAGATCCATTCTCAAGAGATTAATTAGAAAAAGATCATGACACATCCTGTATGTCTCCTAAAACATGAAAGTATCCCTTCGTCCTATATAATTAAGTCTTTAAATAGAGTTAGGGACACCAGGGTGTCTCAATTGTTTAAGCTCCTGACTTCAACTTGGGTCATGATCTCACGGTGCATGAGTTACAGCCACGTGGGGTTCCACGCTGATGAAACAGAACCTACTAGGGATTCTCTTTTTCTCTCCCTCTGCCTCTGTCCCTTCCCCACACATGCTATCATTCTCTCTCTTTCTCAAAAGAAATAAACTTTGAAAATAAATAAATAAACAAATAAGGTTAAATCAATTAATTGCTAAAATCAATTTAATTGCTAATAGACAGGGATTTGGAAATCCATGCTTGAACTTCTAGTTTAAATATGACATTTTAAAATGTCCTATGTACTTTTGAAACTCATTATTAGTATAGAATATCTGCACCTACATATATTGTAATATCTGTTTCTTAACATCTGTGGACATGATTAACACAAACTCATCATCAGTAGTAGATTTTAGAATTAAATATCGTCATATGAAGGTATTGCTATTAGCTCGTTTTTCACTTGCTGAAAGACACAGAATTTTAATTAAAAATCAACCTTATCCAGGCATAGCTGCATTTCTTTCAGAGAGAAAGCAGGTGGAAAGATTTGGCAGCTATATAAATAAGATATATTCTAAAAGTTGTGCCTTTTTTCCCCCCACACACAAAATTCCTCACAGAAATATGTAGACCTCATTTTTTATTAGTGTATAAAAGAAAAAAAATCCCTTTGTCTTAGAAAATTCACTGTCACATATATTGGTATTTTTACTACCTTAATAAAACCTAGGGATTTATTTTAAAGAACATCACATTATAGATTTTTCCTTGAGAAAATGCAACAGTGAGCTTTAGTTAAACAAAGAATTATGTCTCTTCATTTCAAATAAATTTAGTTTAAATATAGTATTTGAAATATAAGTTTAGGCAGAATTTTAATTAGCGAATAAGCCCTGGGATGTACTTCTCAGTACTGCTGAGTGTTTTGAGTCTCTACTTTCAGACACACTCAGTATTAATTTTAGCATGAATAGCAACCTTGTCTTTCATGCTTTTTTAAAGTCAAAGAGATGAGATTATTGTTTAATCTAGTTATTTTATATTAACTCTCTGTTACCTGGATATTATGAGCTGATCCAGAAGTTCAGAAAGATCCAGTACTGCATCTGAAAAACTTCCAAGTTAAAAGGGAATTGGAACATGAAGTTGCTAGGAGATAGTTGGTTACTTGGGCAACACATCTCTGTATCCAGGGAAGTAGCTAAGATATTAAGCATGGCCTTTGTTTAAATTCATATGGTGTATTACAAAGACATGGTGTTAGTAAAAGACAATAGTATTAGCAGCTCTGTTAATTATGTCATATGCTAATAACTACAAACTTTTATTAAACATCCATTACATACCTGGTGCTGTGCTAAGTCTGTATTTACTTTCTTCTTAAGCATTCACAACAGCCTATGTTTTCTACATTTTATAATGAGGAAAATGAGACTTCAAATTTTTAAGCAATGTGCTTAAACAACACTCAGCTTGGAAATGACACAGGAGGAGGCCTGTGGCCTGATGAGGAACTGATGCAGGCCTTTTCATGTCTAGAGTTCAAATATTTACTAAATGACAGTTATTCTAGTAATTTGATATACAAGTACTACTAACTAATTAACATGTATTAAACATTTGTCAGACACTGTTCTAAATCTTGTTTAGATTCTATTGTGCTACAAAGTGCTATCAAGAGGATATATGATATTTGTCTTACCAAATATACAACCGTGGTATATTTAGTAGAATATATATAATATGCTTAGTAGAAATGTATATATGTGAGTATACATATACATATTATATATACATATATATGTCAATATATGGACACTAAACAGTCGAATAATAGGTGGGTTAGTGGCTTTGAGTCCAGTGCAGTCAAAAATTGCATGTCACTTATGGGGCACCTGGGTGGCTCAGTCAGCTGAACATCCGACTTTAGCTCAGTTCATGATCTTGCAGTCTGCTTCAGGCTAGCCTTGCTTCAGGCTCTGTGCTGACAGCTTCGAGACTGGAGCCTGCTTCATATTCTGTGTCTCCCTCTCTCTCTCTGTCCTCTCCCCATTCATGCTCTCCCTCTGTCTCAAAAAAATAATAATAAACATTAAATATTTTTAAAAAGGAAAGAAAATTGCATGTAAACTTTTGACTCTCCTTAAACTTAACCACTAATAGCCTACTCTTTTACAATAAATTAATCTAGAGAAAAAAAAATAATACGGAAGAGAAAATAGATTTACACTATCGTAAAGTAGTTATCCGAAAAAAATCCCATGAGTAAGTGGACCTGCACAGTTCAGGTCTGTGTTGTTTGAAGATCAACTGTACGCACATACACAGACACACACACACATGCAAACTATATACATGAACACACATACATATGTACTAGAATATTTATAACACCCCTATTTTCAATAGCTCAAAGCTGAAAACTATCCAAATAGTTATCAGTGGTTGAATGGATAAATAAATTGTTATATTAAAAGGATGCAATACTAAGCAGCAACATTGTATTAAAATCTCAAAAATAAATTATTGAATAAAAGAACCAAGACTCAAAATCATATGTCCTAATCCAATTTTTATGAAATATAAAAATAAGCAAAAGTCAAGATAATGTTTACTCTTCTAGGTGGAGAAAATGGTTAGAACACAAAGAGGGGTACCTAGAGAGGCTCAGTAGGTTGAGAATCTGACTCTTGGTTATGGTCCAGGTCATGATCTCATGGTTTCATGGATTCAAGTCCCACATCTGGCCCTGCACTGGCAGGGTGGAGCCTGCTTGGGATTCTCTCTCTCTCTCTCTCTCTCTCTCTCTCTGTCTCTGCCCCTTCTCCACTTGCACTGTCTCTGTCTCTTTCAGAATAAATAAATAAAACTTAAAAAAAAAAAGAATGGAACACAAAAAGAAAGTTCTGGAATGCTAATACAGCTCTTTGTTTGAGTGGTGGTTTTATGAATATGTTCAGCATGTAAGTATTCATTAAACTGTATACTTATTTTAAGTGTGTGTGAATATGTATACACACATATATATACATAACATATTAAAGTTTTAAAAACTTTAATAAAGTGTTAAACTTAAATCATTCTATGACCACTTTATATTATTTTGACATTACTGGACTTCTTTTTTTCTGGGTTTACTTTCCAGTCATTATCTCCTCATAGCTCCCTTATCCTATTCCCTTTTCTCTTTATTCAAGCTGGGCATAAACTTCAGCTTGTCTTCTGTTTCTTAAAAGGATTATGCCTTCTGTTCATGGAATTAACTGTAGAATTTGTAAAACCTTTGTTATCATACAAGACTTAAAATATTCCAAATCTCTTTAAATTTAGGTAACATTTCTGTTCATATATGAATATTATATATGTGAACATTGGTGCTTGAGGTACTAAACTGAGTTCCAGAAACATTTTTACCTTTTAGTCACTTTGATCAGTTTGCATTTCAAAATTAAAGTTCAGTTATTTACATTCACCTTGTGACTTTTAATTTTTAATTTTTTTAATGTTATATTTATTTCTGAGAGAGAGAGAGAGGCAGTGTGAGTAGAGAATGGTCAGAGAGAGAGAGAGAGACACAGAATCTGAAGCAGGCTCCAGGCTGTGAGCTAACTGTCAGCACAGAGCCCAACTTGGGGCTCGAACTCACGAACCGTGAGATCATGACCTGAGCCGAAGTCAGACGCTTAACCGACTGAGCCACCCAGGCACCCCTGTGACGTTTAATTTTTAAATATAGCATCAAAATAAAATTTTTATTAGCTTTTAGAAATTTGTAATAAAGAAAATGAATATAAATATGCACGTATGTTAAACAATAGAAATATTATAATTATATTTGTAGTCTTGCCATCTTGATTTAATGCTGATGACACCAGTTGGCTTACTGACTGCTATATCTTCAGCATTTTCACCATGATACCCGACTTTTCTCCCATTTTGAAAATAATTATTTCAAAACATTTAATGCGTGTCCACTATATAATAGGCCCTTCTTTAGTTAGTGATGATACAACAGTGAAAATAAAAGGCAAAAGTCATTACCCTCAAAGACCTTGCATACATAAAAGCCAGGTGGCGGTGGGGTTACCTGCAATAAAATATGGAGTATTTGAGATTTTGATCAAATATAGTAGGGGTTCAAATTAATGGGGTGAGGATGAGCTGTTATCTTAAATAGTGTTCAAGAAAGTCTCATTTAATAAGGTGTACTTTTGGCAGAGACCAAAAAGATGAGAAGATTGAGAAAAACATGTCTGTGGAAAGACTGATCCAGAGAGAGGGAAGAAGAAAGATGTTGGCTTCTGGTTGTGAGTGAAGGTTCTGAGTCTGGTTAGCATCTCACTTCCTATACTAAAGTAGCCAGATGCTCAGATCTTGGATGATCTTTTGGCTATCATAAGGAATTTTATTTTATTCTGAAGAACATAGGAAGCCACTAGAGGGTTTTGAGATGTATTGGTGAGATTATTTGTGTTATATTTTAAAAAATCTCATTCCAGATTCATTGTTCAATGAATTTGTGTGTGTGTGTGTGTGTGTGTGTGTGTGTGTATCTACATATGTGCACACACACCTGCACATATGTGGTGGTGGTGGTGGTGGTGGTGGTGGAAGAAACATTGTAGAGACACAGCATAGAGATAAGGTAAAACATAATTGCCGTAAACCAATAGAGAAAAGGTGATGGTGGCTTGGGCCTGTGTTTCACCAGTGGAAGAGGAGGAGGCAAGTACTAAATGTGTTTTAAAAGCACACCTTGCCAAATATATAATTATATATATATCTAATAACTTACATAATACAAACTTAAAATAGTTGCTGAATGAATGAGGACCACATAACATATCTTTTTATGTTTAGTTGTGTTCTCTGGTCACTTTAAATTGTAAAGATTTCCTTGCCATTACTCTGATTTAATTTCCCTTAGTGCATGCCCTTAGCACCCTGTGCATACATCCTTCACAGTTCTCACCAGTACTTTCTGTGCACTGAGAGCATAGTTAGAGGACCCAAAGCAGTGCTGTCCAATAGAAATTCAATATAAACCATATAGGAAATTTAAACTTTTCTGGAAATAACATTTTTTAAAAATAAGTAAAAACAAATAGTATGATTAGTTTTATGATATATTTCATTGATCCTGATTTGTTTAAAATGTTATCATTTCTACATACAATTAATATAGAAAAAATAGCAGGATATTCTACATGCCTTGCTTTTTGTACTGTATTCCAAATCTGGGGTGTATTTTACATTTACAACACACCTCAATTCAAATGCTAAATTTTAATGAGAAAAATACTATTTATATGTAATAAAGTTTATGGTTGAAAAAGTAGACTTATATATTTGAGTTGTTTACAGCATACTTAAAAATTTTCAAGTAACTGAATTGAGATAGCTTTAAAATTCAAATTCAAAACAATTAAAACTAAATAAAAATTTTAAATATAGTTCCTTATTTTAATTAAAAATTTTAAATATAGCCATCCAAGCACATTTCTAGTGATCAGTTCCCACATGTGGCTTGTGACTATCATATTGGTTAGTGCAGTTCTAGAAAATACATTTCTTTGTCTTATAGTTTGTGGATTTTTTTCGTAGCCACATTCAGTTGCACAAGTAAAGGCATGGAGTAGGCAGAAAGGACTTTTTAATTAAGACTGGGATTTTGCCAGAAAAATGAGAAGAAAAGAGAATATAAGAACTTGAGTGCAGATGTGGAAGGGAGTTAAAATGGTGGAGAAGCTAGGGACCTGGATTTTCCTCATCCCTCTAGCACAGCAGTATTGAGGTCAGATCACTTTGAACACCCAGGAAATAGATCTGCAGAGTGGCACAAGGTTCTCCACAGCTGGAAGGAGACAACTTGGCAAGATCCAGGTGTACATATGTGTGTTAAAGGAGATAAAACAGTGGAGCTAGACACGGGAGAGAACACTTTCTGTGGAGAGACAAAGGGAGAGAAAGAGGGAGGGGTTGTGAAAGTATGGCATTGAGTTAGCACAAGAGGCAAACCTCTCTGGACCAGCTCTTTGGAGCTGAAGCTCCAAGCCTTTTGAAGTCCTCAACTTTCTCCATAGCAGGAAAACCCTCCAAGGACAAGGGAGTTGGCCCAGGAGTACATGGCATGGTGTAGCAATTTCCAGGACACACTGGGAAAGGATGGTCCCCTTCATAGAGTACTTTGGGAAGAATGCTTATTGCCTTCCACAGGACAAAAGACCCTGCCAGGGGCCAGTCACAGGCCTTTCATCAGCAGGGTGGAGAGGCTCTGCTTTGGAGTGGGGGAGTGAATCCATGCAGTGCTAGGTCCCTTAAGAAATGGGGTTTTGAATCCCAGCCCAGCACCAAGAATAAGGCACAGGAGAACTGTGGAACAGGGAAAGCTGATAGCCCTTGCAATTCTGTGAGGGCTGCCTAAACAGTGTGGGTCGAGATTCATGATCTGGGCAAGAGAGAGTGGGGTGATGCCATTCTTCCCCTCAACACCAACATGGTGAGACTTAAGGAAGCAGCACAGCAGCCCCTCAGTGGAGTGGGGGCAAGCTTACACCAAACCCTGCCCCTCTGTGTCTGGCAACTGCTTATTTACTGGGACAAGAGTGACTGACCCAATGCAACCAACTTTTCCTCCAGACCAGCACAGCCACCAGCTCCAGGCACCAACAGACAAATGTTTTTTGGGTTTTTTTTAATTCTTTTTTTTCTTTTTCTTTCCTCCCTCTTCCTCCTTTTTTTTTTTCTTTTTCTTTTTCTTTTTTCTATTGGGATTAGGCTTATAGTTTCTGATTTTTTTTTATTCTCTGTTTGGTTTTTTTTTTCCTTTTCCTTTTTTTTCTTTTTATGGGACCAGTCTTCCCCCCTCCTCCCCTCCCCAGGGTTACTGCCACAAACAAATCAAAAAACGCCTAGTTAAAAGTCCAGGCACTCCACCACTGCAAGCAAGGAGGAGCTCTGCAAAGGACTGACCAGTGAGATAGAGCAGCCAAAAAACAACAGCATAGTGCATGCAACATTCTCCAGAAACACTTCCTGGAGTGCCAGACACTAGACAGTGTACAACCGCTTTTTAATATAGCAGTAGTTTTAATATAGCAAGACACATAACAAGCTCATAAGACATGCAAAAGACAGAAACTTAGCCAAAATGAAAAGATAGAGGAATTCTCCACAAAAGGAAGGTCGAGAAGAAATCACAGCCAGAGAATTGCTCAAAACAGATATAAACAATATATTTAAACAAGAATTTAGAGTAATAGTCATAGGACTAATAGCTGGGCTTGGAATAAGCATAGAAGACACCAGAGTAACCCTTGCTGCAGAGATCAAAGACCTAAGAACTAGCCAGGGTGAATTAAAAAATGCTATTTTATGATTAAGATTTCAACTGGTCATTTGTACTATTATTTATTAATTTTAATTTTTAATGTGAAAGTCATGATTGTCCAACAGGAAAAAATATGAATGCTACAATTGCAAGAATTCTAAGAAATTTTATAATAAGAATAAAATTAATGTTTATAAAAATCCATTGATTTTAGATTGTGTTTTTATGCTTTGTAATATAGATATTGTTTTGTTTTTCTCCATGTTCTCAGTGTTTATATGGTATCTCCATTTCTATCATAACAATACCCAATGAGAAAGCAATAAATTGGACAAATCACCTTGAACTTTCCACACGTTTATTGTATTTTATACATATAATGGAATATTAATTGAACATAAAGAGAAGTGAAATTCTGATGCATGCTACAACATTAATTAAACTTGAAAACTTAATGCTAAACGGTACAAGCCAGATACAAAAAGGTAAATATTTTATATTTTCAATTATATTCATTACCTAGAAAATGCAGAGTGCAGAGTGCAAGAAAGGGAGGGGCAGAGGGAGAGAGGGAGACACAGAATCCGAAGCAGGCTCCAAGCTCTGAGCTGTCAGCACAGAGCCCAAAACGGGGCTCAAACTCACAAACCTCAAGATCATGACCTGAGCTGAAGTCAGATACTTAACTGACCGAGCTACCCAGGCAGCCCCATAACATTATATATTTGTCAAAACCCCAAGAACTGTGTAATAGCAACAATTCATCCTAATGTAAACTATGCATTTCAATTAGTAATAATGTATTGATTCATCAATCGTGACAAATATACTACATTATTACAAGATGTTAATAATAGGAAAACTTGTATGGGAGTAAAAGGAAGGGGTATATATGGGAACTCTCTGTGTTTTCTGGGCAATTTTTAAGTAATAAACCCAAAATTTATTTTAAAAATAAACTCTAACAAAAATTCCTGTTAAAAAAAAGAAAAAATACACATACCAACGTGTAATGCATATATGTGTAAATATGAATTATATATTTCTTCAGAATGCTAGCATATTTTTTATCATGTCACTGAAATGAGTGCATTCTAAGGAATTTGAACGTATATCACTTAATGCCATTATCATGGACAAGTTTTGACTGCCTGAGCAATCATGTAACTATATTGAAGTAGTCATTGAGTCCTATTTTTTTTTTAAGTTTTCTAGGTAATCATAATTACTGGTTTGTCCAGTTGTATTGTGATGATTAAGAGTGAGAATATTGGTTACCTCAGCTTTCTCTGATTGCCAATGCAGCATATTTTTGCCATTTTTTTGTAAATAAATTTAAAAATTCTATAAATCAAAAACAACAAACCATAGAAGTGAATGAAATACCACTGAACACATACACACCCACACATTACTGAGTTTCCTCACCAAAAGCTTTGAAACAGTAAGATAAACAAGTTAGCAAGTTTTTAATGAGATACAATAAGTACTTCTAAAATTTTTCCTTAAATGAAATAAATGAAAATAATTTAATTTAATGTTTTATGAAAATTATCATTCTTGCAATGTCAGGTTAAAGCTTTGAACTGAGGCATTTAGTATATTAAATATACTTCATCCTTATACAGTTACAGATCTGCCCAGGCTATTAAAAACTGATGAAACAGACTATTCCATGTAAATCTCATAATCCAAATCTAAACTGAATGCTTGTGTTGTTTCTCAGACTATCCTAAACTTGATAATAGAGATTTCTTCAGGGGCTGTTTCTGAGACAAGGATTCAAGTGCAAGCAATTAACTTGGGAGTGAGAGTGAGGGAGTGAGGAAGTTAGGCAAGTGAAATAAAAGGGAGCAGTGTTGAGTTCATTATTGAACTAAATATTACTATAGGCGATAGGAATACTTGTGTAGGACATACTCTTCACATCAGCACTGCCTGCAAACAGACAGACTTGGAGTTTGTATACCAGTTTTCATCAGTTGGATGAGGCCTGCTCTCAGGTAGCATTGATTCCCCAACTCTCTGGCCTGGAGCATAGAAAGAAAAGAATGTTTCAGTGGCTAGAAAAAGACTAGAGGCAAAGAAATACATGCCTTAGTGAAAGAAATTTGGGCTATGTGAATTAAAGTGATAAAACTAAGAGATTTATTAGGTGCTACCATCATCTGCTATACTTATTAAGATCTTATCAGCTATAGTGTTACCAAACTATTTTCATTGTTGTTTTTACTACTACTGCCAACTATTTTAATTTAAATTTTACTGTTTTACTTGGGAATGCTTCTTCATTTTCCCTTAAAGAAGGAATTAAAGGTTTCGTCCACCATGCAACTAAGAAATTAATTGAAAAAAAAAATAGAGTGAAAGTATTCTAATTGCCACAGAAACCAGTTTACCAGCATTTTCATTCATTGAATGAATTTATTAGTCATATAAAATTTTTGATTTAATGAACAGCGATTAATTTAATTAGTAAAATTCTAGTTCGCATCTAGTTCATATCATGTCTCCTATATGATGTTAAGGAGTTATGGTGGAAGGTAAGGAGCACAACACATATCCCATGGAGATTCCTTTGGTCTCCAAGGTAGCGCTGAAAGTATCTTAGAGCTTGAGGGACACCTGGATGGCTCAGTTGGTTGAGCAACTGACTCAATTTTGTCTCAGGTCATGATCTTATGGTTTCTGAGATTGAGACTTGTGTTGGGGCTCTGCCCAAGCAGGTTCTGACAGCACAGAACCTGCTTGGAATTCTCTCTCCCTTCATTCTCAGTCCATCCCCCACTCATATGCGTGCACACTCTCTCTTTCAAAATAAACAAATAAATAAACATTTTTTAAAAAGTAACTTAAAGATTGATATTCTCATATCAGACTAGATATCAGTCCATCAGACCAGACTAGATGGACTCAAACCTTTTTTAAAAATTTTTTTTAGTTGTGTGACCTACGTTAAATTACCCTCTGGTGTCCCAGTTTCTTTATATGAAAAATGGAAATATATGAATATATCTAATTTAGAAGTTTATAGTGTGAATTAGATACATTTATGTATCTAATATATATCTGCATATATATGTGTGTAGTGATTTCCTTTAACAAATATGTACCAGTTTCCTTCCAAACTGAGTTTATACAGTTGGGTTCAGGTAACCTGAAAAGAATGCCTTGAATGTCACGTTTTGAAGAATGTATTTTAAGAGTTTTTTTTGTTTTGTCAGAGGAGAAATGAGAAAACATTTACAGAGCTGTGCAAATAAATATATTTTGTGTTTCAAAAGACATTTAACCTTTATCCTGACTGTTTGATTTATTTCACCTTTAATGTATATTAGCATGAGTAGTTATAATCACCTTTAATTGCCACACAATGGCTTATTAATATCCTGTTCTATGCCACCACTCTGAGATTTAAGAAAAATAAGAAAACACCATCAAGAGGATTATAATTTATCTGAAGATCATTTCTCACTTATATTTATTTGCCTAGTTTTCTCCATGAGTGCAATCATAACTAAGATAATGATTTTCTTTGTTACAAGATGGTTCAATTGTAGAATAAAAATTCTGCTCAGAACTTGTACAGTTTGACAAGTTGAATAGCTATGAACACTTAAAATCATTTAAATCTATTTAAATTCATTTTTCTGAAGGGTTTTTTTTTCCTTGGTCAGCATATATTTTTTTTCTAGAGTGCTTAAGTGAATATACTATCATCTTTTATTTAAAAGAAATAAAGAGCAAATTGAAAGCTGCAACCTAATCCTTAAATGCTTAATTACTTGAAATCATTCATTGGGAAAAAAATCAGTTACAAAATAGCATCAGTTAGACTCTAAGAATTGAAGAAACTCTCAAAATATTTGATTACTTTAGAGAAAACACAACAGATATCTAAATCAAGCATCAATTGTAAGTTTATAAATAAATTTTAATCGTAGAATATGTAATATCTTGAAAACTCCATTTTTATTTTAAAAGGAACTTTAGAAATATTTTAAGTTTAAACACTTAAAGTAAACAATTCTGAAAGAAGAATGTACCTATTTTTATAAAAATAATCAGAGAACCAACCAATCTCAACTTTGACAACAAAATGGATTAGAATGAAACCAAAGTTCATATATTATAGCCTGTAAAACCAGAAAATCAACCTGTATTTATGTTCATCCCATTTCCCACTTTGTGACAATTTCTTTGGGAATACAAAAATTAGATATTAAAATTAAATAATTATTGATATATTAATATGTCCTATTTCCTAAAATAAAAGGGAAATTATATAGAAGAAATTTAACTTTTACTGGCAAAAAGAATCCTGCCAGGTCACAAGTATATAAGTAAACATAATATAGTCACACTTATCCAAATAGTACACTATAGTACAAAGGATCATAAGACCATAACAGTATGATGCCATTTATCCAATTATTTACCCACATAGATTAAGCACCAATTTTATGCTGTGCACTGAGCTTGGTACTGGAGATAGAATAATTACATTACTCAATATGATAGGGCAATGTAATGGGCAGGAATGAACAAACTAGGATGAGGGATTTTCAAAATAAACTCATTTATTTTGTTTTCCCAGGTCTAAGTGAGCTTCACTTATAGTTACATTTATGTTGGTATATTTCTTTCAGTTATACAAGTTAGTCATAATTAAGCTCTTTGATTCAGTATATACTCAGTAAATTTGATGTTTTAAGTTGATAGCTTTATTTTAGCTTTTATTCCTATTTGCCTTTTAAAATATATTTTACTATGATTCAGGTGCTTGTCTCATATATTTTGTTCTTATAAAAATCATCTGGCCAACAAAAATTTCTAGCAAATCTTCAGGTATTTATTAATTTTGAATATTATTAAATGTTTTTTTCTTTTATGAATAAAAATCCTTTCAAAGTAGCCACTTGAGTATCTTTAGAAAGCTTCATCATAATATAGCTATTTATTACATTAATAAAATAGAAAGGTGAATAAGTATTAGATACTCTCAATTACAGAAGTTTGACTTATAGGAAAGTATTTCACTTATGTAATGAATAAATTTACCAGAATTATTAGTGGTGATGATTTAATGTCTTAGAAAACCAATCAATAGTGCAAAATCAATTAACACACAATTCAGGCATAGAAAACCCGGTTTTCATATTTTTCTTTTCTCTTGATTTTTTGAAAGGATATTTAGAGCCCAAGTTCTAAAAGTTAGTTACAGGAATAAAACTGAGCAGCAGGATAATTTCTCTAGGTGTATATAATAGAGACAGAAGGTAGATAGAGAGATAGATAGATAGATAATATGATATAATCTTTATGATATAGAGCATCATCAATGGAATTTAATAATCATAAGGCAATAATATCTTTGTATATTTAATAAAATGTATTAACTCATTCCTCAGAATATTTCAGAAATATCCAGAAACATGATTTTACAACTAACATATGTCTTGATTAAAAGCTCTTGATCTTATCTCTAAGATCATTTCAATCCTTAATATCTTATGTCTTTTTAACCAAGGCATACATAGAGTTATACTTCAGATTGTAATCCAATTGTCCACATAACCTGGACCAAGGAGGGTGGGTAGAGTGTTCCAGTAGGTAAGTCTGAGTTCACTCAAAATCAACATTGTTTATTTAGGACAGTATGTTAAAGAAGAAAAATAGATTAAAATTTAAAGGTAATTTTGAATATCACCAGTGTGAAAGTAAATATAATTTATAATTTTCCTAATAAAAAAGTATTTTTAAATCTTATTTCCCATTTTTTAATATATTTTCATCACTGTATATGTAAAGTATGTTTCATCTCACGTTAGGAGGGGCTTAAAGAACAATATATTCTGGGTTCTGGTTAACAGCTCAAAGGATAGAGATGGAAAGTCTCACAACCAGATTAACTGTGAATTAACAACTTTCTTGAATTCATTAGACAACTAAAGTTGCAAGGCAAACTTATACCAAAAAATTGAGAAGAAAAAGGTAACTTTAGGGAGGAAAAAGACCAGAATATTTGATTCCCTGAGGCAGATACTATCTGAAGCCAAACAAGGCAATAGGATGATTAAACTAGAAAAAGTTAATGAGTTTCAAAAGACCAAGTGTGAGCTAGTATGAGAGTATGACTCTGGAAGTGATAGACACAGGGGTTCTCAGTCTTTTGCAAATGTTTTCTCCAGGAAGCCCACTGGAATATTACAGAGTGGATCAGGGGCAGTCTATAGAGAGATCTCCTGATTTACTGACTGAGGGGGGAACAGTAGCCATTGCTGAAATCTGCCCTGGCTTATTTATATCGTCACTAACACAAAACAAAATCCCGTTGCAGCTAGGGTGGGGAACGGAACCCAAAACCTAACATCTACTTAGACCTGTCTCTCTTAATTAACAGCTGCCTTCATCTTCAGGGGATGGACTCCAATACCAGTCTGAGGACATTGGTGGAAACCCAGTGCAGCTGGAAGAAGGATTTAGAAAATAAAAACAATCATCACTGATGGACAAAAGACTAGGATACACACTAGGCCCAGTATTGTGATTGAAGGAGGGTGAGAAATATTTTTGAAGTCCACACCTTCTAATCCAGGTTCACAATGCCCACGTAAGAGCTTAAGCTTTGAGCAGATCAAAGAACATGCCATTCTCTTCCACCGCCCACCAACATGCTAATAGATTGTCTTTTGCAGAAAGACAACTGAATAACCTGAATTAATTTACGTACAACCACATTTGGAAGGCATTGGTGAACAATCAATGCACATAGGACTTGAGGGGCTATAGTATTTGAAAAAAGGAAACATGATATATTAATGTTCATTCTCACCTTAATGGTATTTCCAAATCATGGTGTGGGACAGTGGAGTGCAAGTAAAATCCAAAAGTTTTACTGTTTCTGAGAGACATTGCAATTTAATTCCATCAGACTGTGATTTCAGGAACACAACCAATAGAGAAATGAACTGTAAAGAAGGGACACAGAAATACATATACAAATATCACTCTTTTTTTTTTTTTTATTCCTGAGCTGTAAATTTGAAAAGTACATGGTACAACTTTAAGTTGCTCAGTAGAACAGAACAGTGGAGGGGATAAAATACTGACTAGAGATTTCAGAAACTAGAAGGCATTGTTGTACTTTAATGCCACATCAGTGTGAATGAGCTGTTACAGTATGGTCTGTTAGTTGAAGACACATAAGGCCACAAACTTTGAGGAAGGGACATATGTTAAAATTAATTTCTCCTACCTAGGAATAAACACTACTCCTTAAGACTGGGAGAAAAACTGAAATAGATGCACCCATAAAACAATCAGTCAACATCAAGGTGATTAATTACTACTCAATTCCAGAAGAAAGTCAGAATAAAGTTTATCTCTCCTTAGAAAACAGATTTATTTAACTTGTATTAAAGACTTTTAAAAGTCAGTAAGTATTATGATTTATTATGTGGTTTCTTTCAGTATAAAGAATATACTATTTTCTATGGCTAAAAAGATTTCATTTGTTTTTCTAGCTGTGAAATTCCTTTTTTTTTTTATGTTTATTTGTTTTGAGAGAGAGAGAGTGAAAGGAAGAGAGAGGGGAGCAGAGGCAGAGAGAGGGAGAGAGAAAAAGAGAATTCCAATCAGGCTCCACACTGTCAACATGGAGCCCAGTGCAGGGCTCAAGAACATGAATTGTAAGATCATGAACGAAGTTGAAATCATGACTCAGGTGTTTAACCATCCAAGCCACCCAGGCACCCCAGAATTTCTTCTTTTGGCTCAAGTTTCTTAAAAATCCTCCTATATTGACTTTACTGTCTAATTCCTTTTCTTATCCTTGGGTGAATCAATTATTCCATCCATCTTCTACATTAATATTGTTTTATATTTGAACAATTCTTCATAATATTTTTCCTACTTTACTAAACTGTGTTCTTTGAAGACCTGTTTTTAACTTCCTAAATTTTATCTCTCCTGGACCTAGAATAGTACCCTTAATTCATGTTTTCTGTTGAATGACTAAATGAAAGAATGAAAAAGGAAGGAAGGAAGAAAAAAACAAAGAAAATAAATAAGCATGTCTTCATTGATATTCAGAGGATCCATAGCCATCCAGGTTAATTTCAAATTGCTTCAAATTTTTCAAACACCACTATATAATTTGAATAAGTCACACCTTTTCTTTTTATAGGAGATATGTTCCTTTGGACTGAACTTAAGAATTTTCCATCTTGAAATTACATCCCATATTGTCAATTCTGTCACATTTTCAAAGTTCTAGAGTGTTGGGAGTCGTTTCTGAGCTCAAAAGTTGATAAAGAACTCCCTATGAGGTTAAGGTAAGTTGCAAAGACTCTTACTAATCAGATGGTGACAGATGTCCACCCCCACCCAATTGTTTCTGCTTGGAACACTAACCCCCAAGGTATCTTTGTTGATCAGTATTAGAAGTGACTTTTTCTGGCCTTGAATATGCTGATTGCACCCTGTGAAGGGACCTATTGAGGAACTTCTTCTTTTGTGATTATGGGAGCAAACATTGTGTTGCCTGAAAGACCTGAAAGACCTGTTTTTCTTAATACTTCTCCTTAAGGAAACAAGCTATTGACCCCTGCTCACAAAGAACTAACTTCACCCTTTTTATGCTAAAAACATTGTTTTTAGCTAAAGATACCTTCCTTCCCCATAGGATAAGCATCTACATCACCTACCTCAATCAGTATTGATAAAGGTTATGCAGGAGTATTCTACAAATCTATGTTCTGGGAAATTCTTACATATCAAAGAAATTCATCAGCAGAAATCATTGTCTAAGGCAAATGCCACTTCTGTGCCATCCCCCCCCGAACACTTAATTATAAAATAAAGTTGAGCCCCAGTCAGAGCAGAGATGCCTGCCTGGTGACCAGAAAGGTTCTCGTGACTCTCTCATCCCTCCCTCGCCAACACCGTCCATCCTTCAGGGACCCCTGGACCTGCCAGAGCCGGCCTCCAGCACTAGAGTCCTTCTGTTCTGAATAATTCTAAATAAATCCTTGAAAGATTTTTTGAATGGAAAAAAAAATCCAAACTGGTTCATATGTGCTCTCTTTATAAGAACTACTTTTTGAGAAATTTTGTTTTTCTGTTTTTTTCCTATGGAAACTTTTTGTTTTAATTCTCGATATCTTCTTTTCTTGAAGTCTAAAAGTTCGAAGTCATTTTTATCTTTAAGGATAATTTTTTTAACTGAAAACTCTAAGACAAAGTGTATTTTAGTCTTAGCTAAAGACCCTTTGTATCTGTCAATTAGCTCTAGAGGTCAATATGTGAATCCTAAATTGAGGATATGGATTCTCAATGTCTTAATGTCCATAGGTTTATTTTCATGCTAATCTATGCAGAATCATCCCCTAACCCAATTAAAAAAAAATTCAGGGACACTGGGTGGCTCAGTCAGTTAAGCCTCTGACTTCAGCTCAGGTCGTAATTTTTCAGTTCATGAGCTGAGCCCTACATCAGGCTCTCTGATGACAGGTTTTTTTTTTTTTTTTTAATGTTTACTTTTGACAGAGAGAGACACAGAGAGTGAGAGGCATAGAGAGAGGGAGACATGGAATCTGAAGCAGGCTCCAGACTCTGAACTCTCATCAGAGTCCAATGCAGGGCTGAAACTCATGAACTGAGAGATCATGACCTGAGAGGAAGTCAGAGGCTTAACTCTGGAGACTTAACTGACTGAGCCACCAGCACCTCCACCCTAACCCAATTTTTATGCCAACTCTTCAACAGCCAGAGGGGAGATCTTTACAACCAAAATAGACTTAGCTGGGCTCTTCTCTCCCACCCTCTACCTCTTTCTGTCTCTTCTTTCTCTTCTTTTTGGCCATCAATGAAAATAGCTTATTTATTGTGCTCAATGCAGAAGATATAAAAATGAATAAAACATGCATATATGTAATTTCATGATCTAGTCCTGAATACATGGACACTAAAAGTTAAATCAGTATCTAATTTTAGACCCTATATCATGCACATAACAATTCAGTGTCTTGGTTACTCCATGGCTAGAATCAGGATTCAAAGCCAGGATAGCTGCAGCCAGAGCCACATTGTCACTGCACTTTCCTGCCCCTCCTAAAGACTATAATGGGAAGCGAAAGAAGTGTGATTCCAGATGATTCAGAAGCATCTTTAAGGAAGCATAGTCCCTTGATTGAGAGGAGCTTCTTGTTGGTTTCTCCCACATAGCCCATCTTGCTTTAAGTATTGTGATTCTTTTCTCTATCTCCTTTAATATTACAGTTTAAGGGTCTTTATTAGAGAGATCAGCAAAAGAGTTTGGTATTTAACCTTGTCCTTTACTTGTGGGATGTATCTTTAATAAGGAGTAATTTCTCCTTCAAATCATTGTCAAACCTGTAAAACATGCTTTAATGTAGAAAAACAATTTTTTCTAACACTTCTAGCACCATAATAAGCTTTTTCTTGACAAACTTGACAATGATGCCATATCCATATTAGAGTTATTATTTCTCATCAGTCAGAGGTGACAAGATGAGGAGGTTACAAATCTTCATTTTTGAGTTACAAGTATATTTCTATATACGAATCTATCTGTCTGTATGTATACATAATGGGGAAATTAATTACAATTTGAAAGCATAAACCACTAAAATTATGAGATTCATAGCATGCCAAAAAGAAACATAAAATGTTCAAATGTATAAATGTAAACTACATTATAATTTTCTCTCTACTAAATATTTCTATGATTTTCATTTTTTTTAGTTTTTATTTATTTTTGAGACAGAGCGTGAGAGAGGGAAGGGCAGAGAAAGAGGGAGACACAGAATCCGAAGCAGGCTCCAGGCTCTGAGCTGCCAGCACAGAACCCGAAATGGGGCTTGAACCCATGAGCTGTGAGATCGTGACCTGAGCCGAAGTCGGACACTTAACCAACTGAGCCACCCAGGAGCCCCTATGACTTTAATTTTTAGTTCAAGTCTATTTTGAACTAATTTATATCAGCTTTACAGTAATTTGAATCTCTTTAACTTTTTTAAATTACTATTTGCAGCTCTAATAAACACATAAGTTTCATCTTGCTTTATCATGCTTTTTAGATATTTTTCTTTTATTAAATCTCACTTCTACTTTTATTCTCAAATAAAGTATTGAGAACTCAAAGTATTTACTTAAAAATTTCTCTCCTTTGACTTTAACTCTTTTAAAATATTCAACATCCTCTTTTAAAAGTTTATTATAATTTTTGAAGGTCATTTTACTGTGGTATCATCAAAAGTTCACTTAATCAAAATGTTTGGATTAACAAAGTAATATGCAACCTATTTTGGTCCATTTGAAAACTATGAATGTATATGTTTAAAGATGAATGATCTGTCAAGAGAGTTGTACTTCACAACATGGTACATGACCTGTCCATCCAATCTGACATACATTCAATCAGTATTGCAGCAGCAACAGATCAATGTCTTGTTTTAAGTCACTGAAAATTAATTTATTTTAGTTTTGCTCTCACTGTTATTTTACAGAGTTTTGTTGTTGTTGTTGTTCTTTTTCTGAGACAGAGGGAGAGTGCGAGTGGATAAGAGGAGCAGAGGGGGAAAGAGAGAATCCTAAGAAGGTTTCACACTCAGCATGAGTCCCATGTGAGACTCAAACTCATGAACCATGAAATCATGACCTGAGCTGAAATCAAGAGTCAGATGTTTAATCCACTGAGCCACCCAGGTGCCCCTGATTCTAGCTGATTTAAAGCTGTTTGGGGATTTAAAGGAAAAAAAAAAAAGTTATTAGAGCTCCCTTGAACTCATGCTAGTTCTTTGCAAATTCTTCTATGCATTTTAATTCTAATCTTCCTAAATCATGACATTTTTTCTAAATTAATGTAGAAAATTATTAACATCACAGAATAAGAAAATATGACACTAAAATTTAAATTTAATTGATTAGAATGTGTTTTGTGATTAAAATGTATTTGCCTGGTTGTTTTCCACAGTCTTTAAAATCATGTTGCTTTTATGCTTTTTCAATGACTTTCTAAATATGCTTGTGTATGATCTCAATCGTATAGAGTGCAACATAGATTCATAAACAATATGTTGTATAAGCTGCACTGCAAGCCCTGTAAAATAGGCAGTGGGTATTGTTAAATCCATAACACCAACAGTTACCCGGAGATCCCCAGTTCCTCACTTAATATTTTTAGTTTTATTGGAATGAAAATTATTCAAATTCACATAACATATATGGGAAACCCCAGAGCCTCTCTACCTCAATAACTAGAATTTTCAGAAAGTTTGTATGTCTCCTAGTTATGGCCCTTCAAATTACAAATACTTTCTAACTGTACATTGTATTATAGCTTATAGCCTATATTGGAACTTCTTTGTGTTCTGCAATCATTTTGAAGAAGAAAATACAGGCTTGCTGTATTTACCTGCCATATGGAAACCTTGAAAACAATAGATAAAAGATATTATACAGCAGAAACTTAAAATAGAACATTAGGCAACCTTGCTTTTGAAAGTCCTTTGGTCATTCCTGCTCTGTTCACTGTGAATGTCTCTTTATCCCATGTTGTTCTGGTTGCTTGCTCTTACTTTCTCTGTTTCATCTTCTTCTCTTTCACTTATATCCTCTTCCTTAAGGTAATACCTTTGGAAACTCAATTTCTTATATCCTTTCTTATAAAGAAAATGTAAATGTCTGTTTAATTCTTGGCTCACAAACTCTCTTCATGTAGCTAATGATTAATGTACTCTAGCAAACAGATATATTTATCTATTCTAGTTCCAATTGTTCAGCATACATAAGATCTGGCAAAACTTTGGAATTTTTATCTTTACCTCAGCCCACATCACTAAGTGGAATGGAGTAATAGAGAGATAATTTTCTCACTTATCTTAATTATGCTATCTTTGATAGCAAGAAAAAACAAATGTCGAGTCTAAGGGGAAAAAAACACTGAAACAAAAATGTAATATTTTTCATTAGCAGTGGTTTTACACTTCCAACTACACTCTATTTCAGTATGAAGAAACAGAATCCAAAATGATGAAGCTGGCTTAATTGTAAGAAACTGAAAATATAGGTATCAGACCAAAATCTTAGTGCCTTTCCACTGTTACTTTCTTCCTGTTTTAAGTCTTAAAATTGATTTCTAGTAATACCAGTGTATTTACAATAGTGCTATGCATATTTATATATTTGGTGAATATAACATATATGAG